TATAGACGATTAGAGTTGTTTTAAATAGTTAATATATGCGTGCAACACTCAACACACACAGTGACTTGTCACATATATTCTATTTGTAAGTATGAAGTTTACACCGGTACGTTATGACGTTCGTTAAGGTAATGGAACAAATTTACATGGATTACAACGAAATGGAGAACATTATAACAAAAATAGCCTGAGAAATAATATGTAGGCATTGAATATGCTCCAGCAGACAGGAGCAACGTGTAAAAGAGTAAGCAGATCTTTCGAACACTGTTCTCTGAATAACTCCACCTTAACTTAACAAAATACATCCCAATCTAAGCCGTCCTTACGTGTCAAAACGTAGGCTCATGATTACAGGGGCACACAGTGATACAGCAGTAGCATACGTCTGTGTATTTAATACCGAAAATTGAATGTATTGGACAAGTTTAGAAAATTTAGGCAGTGAAGCAGTATCTAATATGAGAACGTCACAATATGACACACCGTAATTTACAGGACACTTTCTGGGCGGCAAAATAAGTACAAAAGTTTTATGAATATGTATCCTTAGGGGAGTCCTTAAAAAGCTTTGGTTTCCAATATCTCCACTGAACAAAATACTAAGCGAATTAAAGTCAGGTGACCATGTAGGCTACTGGCTGGACGACCGAGGAGTCGGAGTTCGAATCCCAGTAGGGTCAAGAATTTTCACTTCGCCATGTGGTTCATACCGGGTCTAGAGTCCACCCATCCACCAATCCAATGGGTATCGGGGACTCCTTCCTCTGCGGTAAAGCGGCCGGGGCGTGAAGCGGACCACTGACCAACTAATGCCGAGGTCAAGAAAATGTGGACCTATACATCCACTACCCCACACGTCTTCATGGCATAGTGCTTAATTAGTTAAGCACAGGGACTTCATTTTCACCTTTTTACATTTTTTTAAAGGGGGCCTTCATGTTACATATTCATGTGGTTTCTTTTACTCATTTTTGTGTCCGGACATAATACTGAAAAATGTGGCATGTGAAAATGAGAAATTCTATGTGACACATTGCATCAATTATTTTCAGTCGTTGTTTGACCTGAAAGCTCAAATTTATTCCTGCTGCAGTTTTCACCAGCGTTCCTGTTGACCTTCGTCGCTTGGAGTCTTCATTTATCACAGGGAATTCTGTTTGAAATCAGACGGCATGTTGCTCCTTTCGTATCCCTGCATTGTGTTGCGATGTATTTACATTATCTTCTGTGTTGTAACAGCGTATAGTCTGGCGAAAGTCAACCGACGTTTCGAAGGAACATATTTCCTTCATCTTCAGTGTCAAAAATTAAACCAAGCAAGAAAACAGCGTGAAAGTGAGTTACAAGCAGAGCTCTTGTTTGGCTTGTTATTCGATTCTGAAGATGAAGACGACATGTTCCTCAGAAACGTCGGCTGGCTTTCATCGGACTACACGCCTTTATACCCCAGAACATAGACTCTTTCCTGACCACTACTGCGAGAACTTCAAATCTAAAATGACTTCAGTTTGATTTGTATACACCAGATTGGCCCCGTGTTATTACAGGAACAGACACTTGTCAGTGTTTCTTGTTTACATAATGCGCATCGACGGATCAGCATTCCTATTTGTTGTTCGGCCGGTCCCATGTTCACATCTCGGTCCCTATAGTCCATTCGCGGAGACGAGACAGTCAGCGTAAACAAAGCAAGCCCCGAGTCGCCACAGCTGACAGCAAGGAGTGGACAAAGCGCGCAGTTACTCAGTGTACTCACCGCATTCGGACGCACGTTAACGTGCATTCAGACTTAAGAGTGAACTTTGGACGTCCCTGCAACGAAACACGCATCACGTGATCGCTGCATGATTTCATTCAAAGAGCGAAGGAGATACCGCGTGCATTTGTTTACGAGGACTCTCTCGTCTCCGCGAATGGACTGTAGATTGGGTGTAATAGTTGAGATTTCTTGTGGTTTTCCTCATTCCCTCTAAAACAGCGCCTTAAATTAGTCTATGACTGCTTCTTTCCTCATTATTTCCAATTTATTATTTCTTTCCCCTTGGCACTACAGCCCCGGTGGCCTAGGCCTACCTCCATGTACTTCTCCGTTCACTTCGGTTTTTCTAGATCTTACACATTCAGTAGGACTCCTTGGGCAGGTGATCAGCTCGTCGCAAGACCTCTACCTGTACACAAACACAGAAAAACGCACACACACAAACTAAACATCCATTTCCTGAATGGGATTCGAACCCACGATCCCGGTTTCCAAGCGAGCGAAGACAGTACATGTGTTAGACCGCTCGGCTACCGCGACCGGCTCATTATTTATTAACTACTCTAATATTCGATTCTATATACACCTAGCCTTGCAAAGCGTCTTTAAATTAGACAAAACCTCCCTATACTGGCCGCCTTGGATTACCTCTTCAAGCAGCAGATTAGAAAATAACTTAAAATGACACGTGTACTTATTACACTATTTGGACTAGACGTAACAGACGAATCCGTAAAAAAATGCCATTATTCTGTTGCTTTCTTTCTGCCACATACAAACATAGAGTTCTTGAAGGCTGAATTTGGCAATCATATTTGTTGACATTCGTTAAGCCAGAAGGAGACACTCAAGGACTTCAACGACAATAATATGTTGCAAGAACACGAAATCCCACGGCGAGTAGGGCATATCCTCAACTGTCATGACTCTGTAATATACATAATCATAGTTATCTGGCAGAACTACTTCTTAACATCACATTTACTATGGGATTCTCTTTCTATCTCTCTCTGTGGCTCTGCAGCCATTTGGACCTTGGGCGCTTTTCAGTTTCTTAATCCTATACACAACAGGACTCCTTGGACGGGGATCAGCCTGTCGCAAGGCTGCTACCTACACGCAGAACAACACAAGGACAAAATAAACCCACGCAGATATCAATGCCTTGAGTGGGATTCGAGCTCACGACTCCAGTGTTCGAGCGGGTGAAGATGGCTCATGCCTTAGACGGCGCGGCCATTGTGATCGGCTTCACTACGAGATTAGGATACTAAAATAGCGTAAGCAGAACGGTCTTATGTGAAAGGAAGTGGAGGTCTTCATTAGGAGCAGGACAACTCCTGTGGTGGCTTTGAAAATGCATAGAAATTCCTCCACGGAACAGAAAGTGACAAGAAGACGAACGAGGACTTTCATTGTACAGAATAACTAGAGAAGGATGGAGATACTGCGATCTGTGACGTGCACGCGGTAGCTATGCTACAAGTCGGAAGGTCGCGGGTCCCGATGAGGTCATTGGATTTTTTCAATTGAGCTAATCCTTCCAGCCGCACTATGGCCCTGGGGTTGACCCAGCCTCTAACAGAAATGAGTACCAGGAATTAATTAAATAATTTCCTGGCGAGTAAAGCGCGGCCGGCGCGTAAGGCTGACAACCTTACCGCCATCTTTGAGCCGATTGTCTAGATAATGTGGGACCCTCAACGTCTCACAACCCTATGGGCCTTCATGGCCTGTTACAGGGATAGCTTTACTTTTTTCCTACTTTTTAGTAGTAGTAGTAGTAGTAGTAGTAGTAGTAGTAGTAAATTGCAGTATAAACTGTATTTTCAATTATGTTATTTATATGACTCGAAATGGACCTCTTTCCTTGCTCAGCAGTTTTTCAGAAGTGCTTGAATTATTTAGTCATGCTTATTTATTTTATTTGTCTGAATATAGGCTTAATCCACCTCAGCTTTTCTTCCGTAAACTTACTTCCACTTTGACCAATCTGATTACTTATGCTACCATGTCCACGCCCGGTTAACGCTGAAGGACAAACTGATTTAGTTTATTTTGATTTAAGCAGTGCTTTTGACACACTTCCTCATTCTTTGCTTCTTTGTAGATTCAGCAACTTTGGACTACTCCCTCATTATGTTAATTACTTTTATAACTACCTCACAAACAGACACTTTTCTAGATTGTAATGGATTCTGACGATGGGTATAACATTCTGGACTACAAAGTCTGGACTTTGTCCATCGTCCGGAATCGTAAGACATACAACGTTTTGGAAACTTGATCAATTTCCGTCTCCGGGTGAGGTGGAGGGAGACACACTCTGTTGCTTCCGTTAGAAATATCTAACCTCAGTCCTGTGGGATTTAAACCTGATGTGGTGTTTGAGACAAAGAGCTTTTCACAGTTGCCGCGCGGTATAAGGCATGAAACGTCTTCGCCCTCTCGAACACTGGGGGGTCGTGGGTTCGAATCCCACTCGAGGTATGGATATCTGGGGTCATTTATTCTGCATTTGTGTTGTTCTGTGTGTAGGTATACAGTATAATAGTTGTACTAACTTCAACTGCAGAAGCACGAGCTGCGTGTAAGAAGTCAAAGCAACAGAACAAAAATAATTAATGGCCTGAGAAGTAGTATGAAATTTGATTTAAAATGATTAGCAAAATCATCTGCAATATTTTTTGAATCGTTAAAAATTATGATCACGAACTTCCAATAGATAATTTTTTTTCTTTACTTTTAAAATCATATTTCCAAAAATGACTGAGTTGATTTTTGAGGCTGTCATGGACTAGACTTCGGCTTTCTACCAAACGTAATAGTAACTTTGAGAAATTTACGAAGGCATGAAAACGCGGCTTAAGGCGCGTCGGTTTTAGTTTTCTTACAGCATCCAAAATAACGAGGCTTCCTATTTATGTAATATTTCTAGATGCTGGAAAACCTTTCTGAAAATTTAATTTCTTAGTATAGTTGAAAGGAATGGCCTGATTTAAAGCGTCAGTAAGAGCAGCTTCAATAGAAGACGGCCCATATACAAAAGGCCAGTCACTGAAGGATAAGATTTGAATAAAACTATAACACTGTTTCCGCGTGCATAATTCCGAAATGAAACAAAAGAGAGGCGATGCTGCAGACAATAAGCTAAGTTCAATAAACAAGAAGGATAATGATGATATTAATATAATATAATATATAAATATAACATAATACGAATAATAATAATAATAACCTTCAGTCTCCGAATGGATGAAAGATTTCTTCGAGTCCAGCAGGCTGAAGTGTGGAGGGCAATGATCCCAGCGTGTGTAGTCACGGAGCGCGCCGATGTGACTGAAGTTGTGTGCTGGCTACAGCCACATGTCATTGCCTGCGCGTCACACATATTCACACACATATTGAACTAACTCCATAGAGCTGAGCCCATCTTGAGAAGCCGCCCGTTGTGCGGCTACTCAAGAACTTCCTAAAATTTTATGGAACCCGAAGGTTCATTACCGTGTTCAAATGAGCCCTCCATTAGTCACCATCCTAAACCATATAAATCCAGTCCATACCACCTCATCCTATCCCCACAAGAGCCATTTTGATATTATCCACCCACCTACGTCATTGTCTTCCTAGTGCTTTCTTTCCTTCTGACTTTCCCACAAAATCCTACATGCATTCCTTTTCTCCCCATTCGTACTACATGCCTTGCCCATCTCATCCTTCTTGACTTGATCATTGGAGAAGAGTACAAGTTATGTAGCTCCTCATTATACAGTTTTTTCCAATCTCCCGCCACCTCATCTCTCTTTGGTCCAAATATTCTCAACACACTGTTCTCAAACACCCTCAGTCTATGTTCCTCCCTTAATGACAGAGACCAAAGTTCACACCTATACAGACCCACAGGCAAAATTATAGTTTTCTATATTCTAGTTTGTACATTTATAGACAACAGACGAGAAGGCAAAATGTTGTGGCCTGAATAGTAGCAAGTACTACCCAAATTCAAGCTCCTATTAATTTCCTCCTGAATCAAATTTTGAATTGTTACTGCCCATTCAAAGTATTTGAACTGCGGCACATTTTCGAAACACCTGTTAGCTATCTCTACGTAATGCTGCTGCTCGCATTCTGATGACGACACAACAATATATACCTAATTTTCTCTGCGTTTACTTCTAGACCAACCTCCTTACTAGTCCCAATTAAAATTTGTATGTATCTATATGAGTATTACCTCCAGACAGATTTACGTCATAAGCAGAGACCAGCAGCTGATATGTCTCATTTAATATCAATCCCACCAGGTTTTCCTGGACCTTCCTAACGGAATATTCTAAAACGAATTTGAAAAGCAGTGGTGATAAAGCATCTCCTCGATTTAGACCATTCTGGATAGGAATATTATCAGACAAATATTTACCTATTCGGACTTTACATATGTTTCCTTTAAATACATGTTGAGAAGTCTAACTGGTTTCATGGGTACTTTAAGCTCTATGAAGATATTGTACAGTACTTCCCTACTAAATGAATCATATGGTTTCTTGAAGTCTATGAATAGCTGATGTACTCTCTCATTGTACTCCCATTTTCTCTCCAGTATCTGAAGAACGCAAAAGATCTGATCTGTAGCTGATCTGTTACATTGAGACCCACACTAATGATCCCCAATATTTTCATTTATATATGGACTTAACTTTGAGAGAAGGATATTAATAAAATTTTGTATAAAGTTGATAGCAGTGATATCCCACGATAAGTATTACAGTCAGTTTTGTTTACCTTCTTGCGATTTGGTACAATAATACACTCCTTCCACTGATCAAGTAATTCTTCCTTATTCCAAATAGAATTAATGAAATTACGAATGGGGGAGACGAGGAATGCGTATAGGATATTGGTGGAAAAGCCAGAAGGAAAGAGACCACAGGGAAGACCAAGGCGTAGGTGGGTGGACAATATTAAAATGGATCTTAGAGAGATAGGATGGAATGGTATGGATTGGATAGATCTGGCTCAGGATAGGGACCAGTGGAGGGCTCTTGTGAACACGGTTATGAACCTTCGGGTTCCATAAAATGCTGGGGAAAAAATTCTTCTATGGATGTCTCAACGTAATATTTCACCTCCTGTTTGAAACAGTTCTTTCAGAATTTGATCACAACCTGGCGATTTATCGCTTTTCATCTCTGCAATAACAATTTCAACTTCAGAAGAATTAGAATCGTTACAAACGCCTCAGCTGTATATACCTCTATTTGCCTGACATCACTGATCCTATGTATGGTATGTAAATAAACATATTATTTGCATTTAATAAAACTGTAAGCACATGAGATAAATTTGATGTGATAAATGAGGCAATTTACATACAGTGAGTCCATTATTTTTTTTGTCTAAGGCTCTTCTGCTTAACTGTCTGAAGTCTGTTCTAACATGTGAATGATGAAACTGCTTTTCAAGAAAAATATATTTACGTTCCCACATTATCTCTCTAACATTTTATTAGCCAAGAGGAAGATAACGTTATGACTATATATGCTGCTTCCTCGTAATAACGTCTGAACCTACTAATTAGTTATTTTGAACTTTGTAAAGGACACCAAGTCAATCAAGGTCACCAGAAAATCACATTTCACAACGTTCTACATCATAAGTACGTCACACCATTGTGGGTCGGTGGGAAGTGGAGTGGGAGAAGCACTAGCATAATTTAATGTAAAATTTGGAAAACTTATGATCCAAAAACTATACATATGAAAATAATTAGAGAGAACATCTTGCAGATCCAGTAATACAAGTTATTAAGCACTAATCAATGAAACCACTGAAATTCAGTATGCAGGCAGGTGGTAAACATATCAGCAATTGATTTTTATGGCTTGTTTCTTAAAAATTTCAGAAATGGTGACGATGCCGTAATTTGGGGTTGTATGTGACAACTTCCAGGTCACGGGAAACCATCGCTTAAGCTGCATAATCACCGACTCGTACTTTTTGCTGTATGCAAGAATTTGAAGAATTTTAGATTTTAGGCGGCATTAATATTCGTATTTTGAAGCACGTAGGAGCAGAGATAGCCCCAGTCTTCATAACGAAGATCTACGCGCTGAAAGGCCTGGGTTTGATTCATGGCAAGGGAAATTATTTCTCTTAACAGCGTCCAGGTCTGCACTGGGGCTTACCCAATGCCATATACAATGGACACTGAAGGTTCTTTCCCTGGAGCTAAAGCGGCAGGGGCATGAAGCTGACCACTGACCTCCACCTAGTGCCGAGGTCAAGAAAGATGGAAACCTCCCATGCGTCTTAATGGCGTGGTGCTTAACTAATTAAGCACAAGGGCTTCGCCTTTTTCATTGCCATTATCTACACTTCATGGGCATGGCTTTCAAAGCACCGTGCAAGTGGACTCGGGTTTCATGCTGCTGGCTTCGAATCCCGACAAGTGTACTAATAATAATCCCACTTACTGCTACATTCTCAGCAGCGACTACAGAACGTGAGCCATGCGTTTAAACTAATTTGTATATATTTTCCCTTTGCAGGTTAAGTTTTGTTACTTATTCATTCTTAAGTGATATATCAGTCTGTCATTCGCATTTTTAAGACCCAGTGCGCTAAGTATTGTTTTCAGTTACACTAAGTTTTTTCCCTAGCCACGATCATATCGTGTATTCTAAACACAAAGATGATTTTAAATTCAGTTCAGCATCATAGTCCACAACTTTGACAGATTCTCAGTTTACATGTTCATCTTGTAAACTGTTGATTCTTTGTGTGCTATTTGAAGCGACATTAGCGTGTATCCCCGTCCAAGGAGTCCTACCGTCTGTAAAAATGACCAATGAAAGTGAGAAATGAGCCCTATGCTTCAAAGTGGCCGCGAAGAAAAAAAGTTTACCCGTTAATGTTTTCGCAAATTACTGCTTCCTTCTGTTTTGACACCCTCATACTCAAAACACCCAGACGAACTCGATACAGAAGTTCTGAAATAAATGTCTCAGGATTAACTATATCTCTGTACAGATAAATGACATCTGTTTCCCATCGGGTAAAATGTTTCTACTATTTTCTAGTGACTGTCCAGGTTGTAGAAGCAGGTACCATCACAAGAAGCATCGGACGTGCAGCAGTCGCGAAAGTGTGCCAGTGGGTAACGACAAGACACTTCTGAATCAGACAAATCTTTGGTTTATAACCCAGTGAAAAACAACCCTTGGGCAATTGCCGTTCATAATCTAGACAAAAATTTCTTTTTTCCTTGGCACTACAGCCCCAGTGGGCCTAGGCCTACTTCCATGAACTTCTCCGTTCACTTCGATTTTTCTTGATCTTACACATTCGGTAGGACTCCTTGGGCGGGTGATCAGCTCGTCGCAAGGCCTCTTCCTGTAGACAAACACAGAAAAACGCACACACACAAACTAAACATCCATGCCCTGAGTGGGATTCGAACCAAAAATCCCGGTTTCCAAGCGAGCGAAGACAGTACATGCCTTAGACCGCTCGGCTACCGTGACCGGCAGACAAAAGTGCAAATCATATATAGATAACCGTATTTAATTACTTCTCTTACTTTTATATACATGTATAGTTCAAGTTCAAATGGCCTAACGTGAACTTCCATTGATATATTGATAAAGCCCACCCATCCACCCATCCACCCTCTTCACATCTTCACCCATCTGCGCGCATAGTCATTACCTCCAACACGGAACTCTGAAGAATTTAGACTTTAGACTTAATTTGAAAGGGAAGAACATATGGCTCTGTGTCTTGTAGTGCGGCAGCCATCACCGTAAGTGCAGGGCCCCTTGTTGCTGTATCCTTAAACACCACTTTGTTGTCCAACTTGTACTCGTCGTACAACAACTTGTGGACTGTGGCCATGCCTGCCCGCTCGCAAATCCGCGCTGATGTAGAGCTCGTGCAGTCCGCTTTGGCTGCCCGGAACCCACGCTGCGCGGCCGCTTCTAGACTCGCTCGAATCAACTGCACAGCCAGACCTGTTGGATGAGAATGTTCTCATATCAGCCGCACGAGAAAAGTTACAGCTACCATATACTGTACAAATTCTTTAGGAACGTCTGGATTCCACTCTACTAACTAAATAACAACCTGACTACTTGGGATTCCTGTTTTATTTTTGACCGTCCATCGTCAGGTATTCTGAACACTACAGAAACAGCGTTTCGGAAACTGCATCTGTTCCTCTCCTCAGGTGAGGGGGCGCGAGGCTGTTACTTTGCTGGGTCCTTTAGAAAGAGCTAACTTCAATCAATGGACAGAACCCTTTAGAATTAACTAGCTAACTAACTTCAAGGAACTGATCCCTTCTTGAGAAGCCTCCAGTTGTTCAGCTGCTCAAGAATGTTCTACATTTTATGACACAGGATAGTTTATTACAGTGTTCACAAATTCCTTCCACTCTTCCCTATCCTGAGCCAAACGAATCCAGTCCGTAGCACCAAATCCTATTTCTTGAAGGTTCACCTTATTATTATTCTCCCATTTACGTCTAGGTCTTCCTGGTGATTTTTTCCTTCTGGCTTTCCCACAAAAACCCTACATGCATTCCTCTTGACCCTAAGTGTGCTACATGTCCTGCTCATCTGATCCACCTTGACTTGATCTTTCTAATTATATTCGCCGAAGATTAGAAGCCATGAAGCTCCTCATTACATTTTTTCCAGCCTCCTATCATTTCATTGTGGTCCAAATATTCTCCTCACCCACCTCTTCAGTTTATGTTCCTCCCTTAATGTTAGAGACCAAGTTTCATACCAGTGCTAAACTATTATAAGTCTGTTCCTTGTCATCACGGCATGGCGTGTTCTGAAGTTGCGGGTGAAGGAGACGACCTTGGCATATGGAGGGTAACTACGGAAATATTTTATAAGAAGTCGTGGACAGCCGACAAGGAGTAGTGCTCAAGTTGGGGGGTTAGACGTGGGGTTAACTACTCATCACCCTATTTTTTTTTGTTATGTTACACAGGGTCTCAAGCTCCTACTCTATCGATTAATTATACATCCTGGCGTTGGAATATGGATACTGGGGAAAAACACGGAAGATAACTTCACCACGGCCACGAATCGAACTGGACGCCGCCCGAAAGCAGGTTAGATGGCTTGCTGCTGTGCTAACCTATTTCGTGTGTCTGAAATACTGTAGGAACAGAAGAATTTCGCTGGAGACTGTTGCGTCATCGCATTGATTGTTAGCGGTGAGATTTAAACCAATCAGTGTTCAGTAAAGCTTGCCTCCTTTTGCGAGTGCTTCATGTTGAAATGCTCTCTTCAGGCATGTTGTGCTGTACTGCAGTTCATGGACCGGTCAAGACAGGGATACGCTTTAAAATTTAGAAGGCGTGGCGATAACACACCACGATAACAGTAAATTAGCTAGACGTGTTATCTCTGCCTCTATTTGGTTGTAATTTAGTTGTGTACAAATTAGACGCGTTATCATTGCGTATGCTTGGGCCGTGAAGGTTTTCCTATCTTTATCGGCACAGTAACTCTTTCGCTCGCCTTCAAATTTGGCAGGCGCTGTAACGGCAATGAGATATACTATTAGGGAAGGAGACCCTGACCATAATAAACACAGGCCTTACGCAAGACATAACATTAATAACACGAAATAATGGGCAGAGAGAAAGAAAAAGTGGCGAGGTAGTGAGAGACACTATCCTGGGGGGGGGGCAGGTTCCCGGTCAGTGTCCGCGCGTCATTCTGGTAGAGGTATTGCATTTCTATGACATTGGAAGAGCTGTATAATAGTGAAATTTTATTTAAAATTGGGAGGGAAGCATGCGAAACACTCAGTGCAACGTGAAATTTGGGCACCAACTCAGCATCTGCTCTAGGATCGAGGGAAAACACGGAAGACTTGATCGAGTTGGTCGGTCGCAGGGCCTTCCGGATGGAAACTGTTTTCTAGCCAGTAGTCCGGCTTTAAATACGTGAACTCTTAATATCAGTCTTTATCTTTGCTGTTGCTTCATATGAAAAATTTTATCTGCTTTTACAGATGTTTCTTTCCAATTACTTTGCTAGTCAATATGGCGGAAAGGAGAAGATGTGCTGAACTATGAACTGTAACATCCGATCCCCCCTCTCCAGAATATATATTTAAATTCGCCAACATTTAGTCAACCAGAAATATAAATTTTTGTAAGTCTGTATGCATGGATGTGCACATAGGCATGTGTTCTCTCTGCAAATGTTATACAAAACTATTTGGTGCTCATCCAAATTATACACATAAAAAGAAGTAATGGGAATAATTATTCGCCTACTTTCCTTTGATACGACACGGACCGCATATAAAACGACGGCTCAAACAATACTTCATTGCCGCGGAAACGTATTTGCAGAGTTGTTACGTAGCAATAATAAGGGAGAAATAAATAAAGACTTAAAGATTCTCCTTTTATAAGATACGGCCCGCATAGACAATGACGCGTCCAGCAGTTTCTCTGTTGCGTGTATTCGTTTCAGCGGGAACGTATTTACCTAGCCGTTACCTAGTACCGAAAGAAGGATAAAGTTAAGAGAGCCATTGCCTTGAAAGAACAAGAGAGACACACATACAGACACAGAATGAATGGGAGGTATTTATGAAGTACGCCGTTGAGATTGGCTCAGTTGCCTAAACCTCAACTTTAAGCTTGGTTTGGAGCTTGTGTTCCTTTTCGTGACGAGTATTCTCACCTCTCCCTGTGTGTGTAGGCTCCACAGACACTAGTCCAACTTCGAAGATTGTGTCAACTCCAAGAGCTTCGAAAAGATCCAGTTGACGATGAACTGTTATAAGCATTCTCACAACATTCGCAATGAGGGGATCTTCAGCTGCAACAAGAAGTCAGATGGCTGCAAGAATGGTGACAGTGTTCCTTCGCCGGAGAGTTTTGTGCTCGAAGCCATGAATTGGGTTTGAAATTTGTATTTGGTAGCGTAGTTGGTTGAGGCACTGCACTATAAAGTGGAAGGTCGTGGGTTCAAGTCCCGATGAGGTCATTAGATTTTTTTAATTGACCTAATCATTCCAGCCGCACTATGGCCCTGGGGTCGATTCAGCCTCTAATAGAAATGAGCACCTGGAATATTCTTGGGGGTAAAGCGCGGCCGGCGCGTAAGGCTGACAACCTTACCCCCATCTATGAGCCGATTCTTAGAAAATATGGGAACCTCGACGTCTCACAACCCTATGGGCCTCCACGGCCTGTTACAGGGATAATTTTACTTTTATAACTGAATGGCGCGCACTTATTTAAACTTCGCAATAAACACGATTAGCAGACAGAGAAAGGGGAGTGATATTTCTGCAAGAATATAAAAAGCAGATATGAATTGGTATTGGTATCTCAGTTCGGAACCCAGTTTTTTCTGTTTTTCATTAATTTGAAACTGAACTGTAGGCATATTTAAATGAAAAGCGATGTATACTAACATAATATTCGATTAATATAAAGGCGACCGAGTGTTGGTTGTCGCTCGATAAGGATCGAACCAATCACTATCAGTCAGTCATATGGTAGCATCATATCCTGTAGAAATGTCTGTCTCGTCCCAACAAGCCGTTACTCGGCCACCTTATTGTTTCAATCGTACAACAGAATGTCTGAATACGCATGCGTATATAACAGACTATAATTTCAGCGGTCCATACCTGGACCAACAGATGACGGCAATGAACATCCCATCACCTGATCTCTTGTTAATGGCCGATTGAGGCAAGCACCAACGACGCTGGAACCTTCAAGGGCCATGACACACAAGCCACTACGCAACTGCATATCCGCATACTCGCGGAAGTCCCGTTCCCGCTGTCCTGTAGTGCAAGGCGGGAAGCACTGTGACAGGGGCTCATCACGTAGGAAGATTGGGGTGATATGGTTCAGCACGTCACAGTAACGGCTCTCAGGTACCAGGTGGACAGACATGGCTCCACTCTTCGAGCTGAAGGTACAGAATGAACAGAAACACATTGACAGAGATAAAGTTTTCTCCATTAAACCTTCCACTTGCCACCTCTTTCTAAACTTCCCGCCCTGTAACATATTGTGCTGGACAGAAATAAGGAGGTTCGTCTAGAAATAAACAGATAAAACCTGAGTAGATAATAATGTCTTGTCAACAGAAATCAGAACAAAATCATAGTAAAAAGGTAATTTTTTTTAAATTCGCTTAGTCGGGGGTGGAGTCCAACTGGGTCCACTCGGCACGGCGGCCACTGATTGGCCTATTGTAGCCTGCCCCGGGTGATTATGATGATGGAGAATTTGGTGGAATGAATATTGGCAGGGGAAACCGAAGTACTCGGAGAAAACCCGCCCCAGCGCCACTTTGCCCACCACAAATTCCACTTGACCAGACCCGGGATCGAACCCGGGCCGCCGCGGTGGCAAGCCAGCGACTAACCGCTTGAGCTATGGCGCGGCCAAGCACCTATTAAGACCACATTTTTATTCCTGTCTGACAGTTGCGGGTTTGTTGATGTGGGGCAAGACAAGAAGACGGGTCTGCTTTTTCAATGTACAATGTAAAATATATTTACATTTTACCTGTTATTAAGTGAATATATATAAGGTCTTTGTCAGTCGAGACTCAGTACGGCAGATCATGCCTTATTTTTAGCAGCGTCCGCCTGTGAATTCTAGTGGCCACTTTGCTTCATGAGATTTAAGACAATTTTTGTAATGGCCATTTTTCTCCTCCTCTGACAGAGCACCACTGAATTCTGCCATGAATTACTGTACAACATTTGCTATTCTCAACATATTGTATCCTTCAAGAGTCAAAGTCACATTGCGACTGACGGTCAGTCAGTCAGTAAGTCTTGGTGTCGAGCCCCACCTGGGGCTCATGACCAGATATTTATTACTGTTTGACATTTACGGTCTTGTTTTTGTGGGGAGCCCTCTCTGATGAGAGGACGGGTCTGTCTTTTGTATATGCTGCTGGTCCTTGCCAGCGCAGTCTTTTTCGGGTCCGAGTCCCTTGAGACTTCTAACCATATTTTACCGTCTCAGATTTGAGACTTCCCTCTTCGTCGTCTCCTACGACTCGCAAGGTCACGGTGGAGGTATTAGACCCCACCTCCACGCGGGTTAACTGTCTTCTTCAAGAGACTTTCTTTGCCCCTTTATAACCCTTCTGCTTGAACCCCACAGAAAACACAGCTTGTATTGTTAAGGAGGCGTGTTTACTGGTCCGTTACGTAGCTTGTGTTCCGGGAATGTGTTCACCGAGCCCTTTCCTAGCGAAGGGTATACGCATCACAATATATATGACTCTTAGTTTTCACTTATCGCCATTTAGAATTAGTTGCAGGAAAGCCGATAGAGGCACCACTTGACGGCTTGTTTTATTTTGTTGCGATTTTTCAAGTTTTTTTTTGGTTAAGTACGTACTTACTCACTGTGGTATTTATCTATATGCTCCGTTACTTACACACAGTTTATGCAGAAAGCATTTAAGTAATGAAAGAGTTTCTTACTGCAACCTGTCATGCTATTTGTAGGTTTACCTCAACGTGGCGCTGCTGGTAATATGGAACCCCATAGCTCTGAGGGTTCCATATTATGTGAATCTTTTAAATAAATGAGGCACTTTATTTTGGTTGTTTGAGAAAAGTCTAGAAAGTATCTGAGTTCCACGCCTTCGAAAATTAGAAAAGAGCGGGACTGGGAAGCAGTTCATGTCATGACAACCACGCGAAAGGACGAAGGGGGGGAGGAAATGGCTCTAATGAAAATTGCAGTTCCAAGGAAAGCTTGGAGTCGTGTGGTTTTGGAAAAGGAAGATTCTTCTGAAGGTGTAGTAACCAAAATTTATGGAGAAAAGCAATTTTATCGGTTGTTATGAAGGCTGTGCTTTGTAAGTATCAGCTAGTCCCGGAAAGTAAATCTTATTGGCTTCATAAGAAAAATCCACTTACTATGGATTTTCAGCGTGTTCTAATAAATAGAACAAAAATTCATTTGATCACTGTGGAATAACAGGAAGAAATTGACTAGACCACTTCCTTCGTCGTCATAAGGACAAGCACCGGAAGTCAAGATAGGAAACAAAATTATTCAGCCGATCACATGTCTGACGGTGATGAAACGAGTTTCATTATTTTAAAAAGCGAAATCCCTTAAGCGATTTCGCACAAGAACAAACTCAATATGAGTACATTAACCTCAGCGGTGGCCTATTTGGTGATGCTTTTTGCCTGCACGAGAGTGGGGAGTTGCGTCTTAATGTTCCGAAGAAGCAATACGAGCTAATAGATAATGAGGACTGTAACAAGAAAAACACTCGGTGCTTGTAGCCCATCAGGATGGGTGTAGTCTGACTTGTTCACTGACTGTCTCCTCACTTCAATGCGAAAACCAAACGACAATGTGGGGCGCCTCTCTTAGTTTCTGCTGCGTGGCCCCTTTGCATTTGACTTAGTGCGGTAGCGTAGTTAGTTGAGGCACTATGCTACAAGCCGGAAGGTCGCGGGATTGAATCCCGATGAGATGGATTTTTCAATTTACCTAATCCTTCCAGCCGCACTATGGCCCTGGGATCGACTCAGCCTCTAACAGAAATGAGTACCGGGAATATTCTTGGGGGTAAAGGGCGGCCGGCGCGTAGGGCTGACACCCTTGCCGCCATATATAAGCCGATTGTTTAGAAAATGTGGGAACCTCAACACCTCACAACCTTGTTGGCCTCCACGCCCGATTACAGGGATAACTTTATTTACTTTACGCATTTTAAAACCATTTTCCCGTCTTGAGTGTGCCACCACATGCTACTCGTAAGTTTCAGCCTCTGGCAAATCTCTCATGGGTCCTCTCATACCTAACTACAGCGAGAACATCGTTTTCATCTTCGGATAAACAACCGTCCGCTATCCATGATATTTCCTAACTTTTTGTCGTGAAAACGAGAGAAATACAGATATAAAGGGATTCAGAGCCACAGGGATATATCCTCCCAATAGAGAGTTATTCATCGCCGCCGAAGTTTAGGCCGAGCTGAACACATATGATGAGGCAGACGCAACTGGTAAAGAAATCGATGCCCCTCCTGCTGATCATGGCAGGGCCACGCGGGATGCCCCTTCCACTTCTGGCTTAGTGCATGCTGACCTGCCGAGAGCCGAGCAGAAATACTCTGTGCTTGCCTTCGCAGAGCATATCTGCCCTGACTCGAAGAATTTAAAACCTTGGTAAAGACTTCCTCAGCTCCGTTTATCACAGGTTCCCAGTACGAACATCATGAAGCACAAGGCTAGAAGAAACTTGAGAACAGCTTTCCGAGGAAAGTTCCTCCAAGGATCAAGTGGGTCAAGTACATCAAGAGGAAGGGGAAAACCGCACGTAGCGAACATAAGCAAGAACATGAAGTTCTGTTAAGAACTATTCGCCTACTTTCCTTTGATACGAAACGGACCGCACAGAAAACGATAAAATTAAGGGGGCACACAAACACAGACAGAAAGGTGATCTCATGAGCTTTGTAATAATAATAATTAAGGGGGATACACAAACAGAAAGGTGGTCTCATAGGCATCAAAGCCTAAAATTTAGGGGATACACACACGGATGCACAGAGAGCAAAGTGATTTCGTAAGCTTCCTTTTATTTTTGTCAAAATAAGGGAAATGGGCTAAGGAGGAACAATCGTGAAGAAGGCGAGGACTCGCATTCCAGACGATTTCAGATAGCAATGGGTTGGCCGTCTCACAGAAGAGAAGACGCGTGGAGTTTTACTCTTGTTGCGAGAAGATTAGGGACCAACTGTGTAATGTATCATATGATAGTGAGAGTTGCGGCTGTGAGGGACACAGTACTCTGTTTGAGTTTACTGCAAACAACAGACGAAAGTTAACATTATTTCTTTACGCGAAATTAACTTTATGTAAACATACGTTTAAAATATATTCGAAGTCCATTGCACTGCACTGGTCAGTTCATTGCCTTGGTCCCTTGTTTAATTTGAAAATTAGGCTGCCTTATTACCAGCACCGTTTGTATAAAGAACTTTCTAATATTTTTACTGAAATGAAGAATTAAAAAATGTCCATATCAAGATGTTGGTGACGGCAGCTACTGCTCATACTTTTGGTACTCACTTAGCATTACGAACTTCTGCACCCATCACAAGGGATGTTGTCAAGTTTTGTTGAACGTATCTGCTCCTCCTAGCGAGAGTTGTCTGTAAACAACACAACAAATCTCTTATTGAATTCAACGTTACGTGAGGGGTATATGGAGTGCATTTTCTTTTATTGCTAGTGGGGTGGGACTAAGTCCCTTGTACTGCGGCCACTTCTGGCCTATTGTACCAGCCCCAGATGATAGGTGAGGGTATTGTGAAGCAACTGGTGGAATGAAGATTGGCAGGGGAAACCGAAGTACTCAGAGAAAACCTGCCACAGCGCCACTTTGTCTACCACAAATCCCACTTGACCAGACCCGCCGTGGGAAACCAGCGACTAACCGCTTGAGCTATGACGCGGCCTATATTCAGTGTTACGAGCAAGTCACGTCAGTGTGGGAGCATAAGCGTCGGAAGAACGCCAAACCAGCGTCTCCCCCCTCTTTTAACCCTCAGATATTTGAAAAAAATAATTGGATAGTGAAAGCGAAGCAATTATACTAAGTATTGAATTCACGTTCTTGTGTCATGAATAAAAATTAAGAGTAGTCGGTATAGCGACTGGATATGGGCTGGACGACCGAGGGGTCGGAGTTCGTGTCGGTAGGGTCAAGAATTTTCTCTTCTCCACGTCGTCCAGACCGGTACTGGAACCCACCCAGTCTCCTATCAAATGGGTACAAGGGGTTCTTTCCAACTAGTGCAGAGGTCGAGAAAATGTGGATCTATACATCCACCCCCCATACGCCTTCAGAAACAAAATTTCCGGCCACTTCTTCCTTGGAACAAGACCTCACGGCACCCTCGCCGGTTGCGAATGGCAAACTGTGACGCTAAGCAACACTGGCCGTTTCTTTACGTGTGTCGGATTTTAAGTATAGACACGAATCATTGTAAAGTGAAGGGAAGTTCAAATATTTGGGAAAGATACTAGCAAAGAAAATTATATTCATGAAGGCGTTAAGAAGAGATTCAATTCTGGCATCCTCGCCACAATCATTTCTCTCGCTTTTCTTATCTGAAAGCCTAGACTTTAAAATGTGCAAAATTATAATTCTGCCTTCTGCTCTATGTGGGTGTGAAACGTGGTAACAAGCTTACCTAAATGAAAGAACAGATAAACTGCTGCTGCTAAGAGAGAAAGAGCGAGAAAGAGAGAGGCGGGGGAGAGGAAGAAACCACGCAATGAAAAGTTTCACAGAGTTTCTTCTGCACCGGATGTTATTAGGCTGACCAAATTAAGGAGACTAAAATGTTTGAGACGCCCAAGAACATACTGGAAGAATGAAAATACACACAATATTTTAATTAACAAAATAGGACGGAAAAGACAATTTTGGACACTGGGCGTAATACGAGTATATATGGGGGTCGGGGAGAGGGACTCCAGTGCAGCTAAATTTTTCCAAGAAGTGCAATAAACATTGTGAATATACTAAATATTTTGGCATATGTAAAAGAAAAAATCTTTGTCCATACCGTTACTTTGGTGCTTTCTGTCTGGTGGGTGCAAAGAGACAATAATATATAGCCAATGGTTCAACGGACAACGCTCTCTGTCTGACAGTTTCAAGGATTGTCAGTAATTATGAAAATACGTGTGATATCACATCCTTTAATTTTTAGAATTTTAATTTACCGACAAATAAGAAAACTTGGTGTTTATTTCTTTGAATGCACTACCTTTCATATTTCAGTTACGGAACCGAAGAGCCCTGCTATTGCTTATATCAGGAAATTTATTAAAGTTTCATATATAAGATTTAAGCTGATGTACACTTAAAGATTACTGTGTTCTGGTATGCAATGTTGTGTAATCCGGTAGAAATTCACTGACGTTTCGGTGAAACGTAGGCATGCTGTCCCCATACCCAGAGTCGAAGGTAAGGCCAGGAAGAAAGATTTCTGCTTCGTGCTGGTTTCTTGCTTGGTTTACTCTTTGATCCTGAAGATGGAGCCAGTATTTCCTGCCGAACATTTATGAAATTTTGTAGGACTGCACGGAGCTATAAGCTAGTAGTTGCCCTCACTGTCACCGCTGTGTGAAACTCAAGTTCAGCGTAATGAGTACCTAGTTACAAGCACTGAATTTAATACGAAAGCATGTAGCATTTCTTGTATTTGAGTAGCACTTATTCTAATACCATTTTCTGCAAGAAACGGGCGCTTTAATTACTGAATGTGCAAAACAAAAAACGAAACATGAACGATATGAACACGGCTTATACATGCATGTATGCCACACTCACTTCACAATACGTAAGTAGTACTATCTTCTGGGATATAACGCAGTGTAGCCCTTTGAAAGTCAACCGACGTTTCGGAGGATCATATCGCCTCCATTTTAGCACAGAAGAATGATCCGAGCAAAATACCAACGTGAAAGCAGATTACAAGCAGAGCTCTGTGAGTATATATCCCAGAAGGCAGTACTGTTGTCCTTAACCACCGCTGTGAGAACCCCAGAACAAATATTTAGAATATTTGTTTTCTAATTCAATGGGATACATAATTATACTGTAGAATGTCGCTACGTGAGATCCAGCGTTAGAAAGAACACCTGTGTGTATTGGGATACATACGATCAAGGAAACCATGATGCTCTTCTTCCTTCCACGTGACCTCTACACCGTCAGACACTCAGAACAGGTGCTAAGTAGCAGCTTACCTTACGTAACTGAATTCAGTGGATTACGACTGTCTTTATATATATACATTCCTCACAGCTCAGCCTGAATTTAACCGCAAATTTTTCCTGTTGACGCTTATCTCTGACTCACAGCGGTGGGCACTGTGCGCGCATAGCCTGCATGTTTCATGCTTTCCAAAACCTGATGACAATACACACAGCACATTCATAGATTCATGTCTCATCTCTTTCCGTGGACATCGTATCTCCAAAAATATTGTCTAAGTGCAGTAGATTAAACATAAGGACGGACTGATAAAACGGCCTCCTTGTGCAAAGAGCGCATAGAAATGGAATTTCGTTGGCAAGTACTGATACTGCATACCTCCATGGTATTTCGTTGGCAAGTACTCATACTGCATACCTCCATGGAATTTCGTTGGCAAGTACTGATACTGCATACCTCCATGGAATTTCGTTGGCAAGTACTGATAGTGCATACCTCCATGGAATTTCGTTGGCAAGTACTGATACTGCATACCTCCTAAATCTTGATTATCATTCTGTTTATTCACTGACATTACCGCACCATTTTACATGCGGGGGTTGTCTTCGAAGTAGATGTGGTATGATGGCCGACAATAAAGAAGAGGGAAATGCGAGATCTCTAATTTTGGTACTAAGTCGGCGTAATGGTGGAAGACCTGAGAAAAACTAGGAAGACTTATTGTAGTCTACCGGGTAAGATTTGAATCTGAGACCTTCCGAACACGAACTATTACACCATCCCATTAAATAATACAACATTCTAAATGTAATATTAGGCTGTGGGCACACCAAGGAAACTAGCAACCGCAACGCAACCGCAATTTACTGAAAAAAAATAGCCAATTTCAAGCAGACAACTGCTTTTCAGATTAGCAGACGCACACTGAAGAAGCTTACGTTTGATTAGCTGCTCACATCATGTCAAGTTGAACACATGTTACTGAATGGAGCAGCGCAAATTGCGGTTGCCAGTTTCTTTGTTGTGCCATCGCCCTTACACTTTTCCAAGGAACATAACCTGAATCCAGACTCCTTCGTCCCATGAAAATTGTTTCCAAAGCCAAATCTAATTTGTCCTGACTAGCAGTCTGAGTGACGTTTGTCATATACAGGGTGTTTCACGACTTTAGGGCATAACTGCAGGAGGTGATTTCCTAGGTCTTTGTGGTCATTAAAGTTCATATAAACATGTGTCCGATTTTGGACGGTTACGGAGTTATGACCGTTTTTTCATTCCCGTACACGCCCTCGTGTGAACCGCGTCTATCATCTGACGGGTCGCTATTTTTAGCCAGCTACAGACAAAGCGTTCTCGTTATCTCGACACTTGAGAGGTACGTAAGGCGTGGTGGGTTGGTATGTCCGGCGCGGTTCAAAACCGAGCTGCAGCCTGTGTTGCGGCCGGCGGTGGCATTTTCGAAAATCAGCTTTAAGAACCAATAAATTCAAATTAAAGGTAATTTCACGAAGTTAACTTTGCATTCATACTTTAAATGTATCATGGATTATGCTGGTTTATTATTTTGTTCCGTTTATTGCCAGTAATCGTTATCTTCTATTATGAGTTTAAAACGGTCATAACTCCGTAACCGTACAAAATCAGACATATGTTTATATGAAGTTTTTTGATCACAAACACCTAGGAAATCACCTCCTGCAGTTATGCCATAAAGTCGTGAAACACCCTGTATACCAGGCTCTTGCTCAATAAACTGCACACAAATAAAATTAACAGCTTCGTCAGCCTTTCGTACCATCAAAACAATTGAATCACCGAAGCGCTTTATAGAACAGCTGACACTAGGACACTACGCGGCAACGCAATTGTGAGAAAACTGGTATGCTCCGTTGCCTGGAAGTTTAGTTTCTCAGTCTTTCTGCGAGCTGTGTTTCCGTTTCCTCAATTTGCACTGCTCCATTCATTAACATGTGTTCAACTCAGGCTGATAACAATTCTCGGAAATTGCGGTTGCGTTGCGATTGCCAGTTTCCTTGGCGTGCCCTCGCCCTAAGAGTGTTTAGAAAAATATTGTAAATGCTTCAGGGCGATCAGCAAAAATTGAATGGCCTTTATAAAACTGAAGTTCCAATTGGTCAAGGTGCATATAAGGTTCATTATGGAGGTTGACATTTTATTCGTGTTATATCACAACAAGCTTATGACCCATCGAGGAGGACGGATAAAATACACGTAATTTCTTTCTTCCTTTCCTTTGTCCCTTTTGTACCTTTATTTCCTATTTCCCAGTGATTTCTTTCCTATCCTCTCATTTATCCATACTATCCTAATTCCTCTCCTCCTTTCTTGCTATTTCTGCTTCATGCAAAATCAGTTCCCTCGCTACTGCTCCTCCGTTCCTTTGTTCCCTCATCTCCTCGTCTTCTCTCCTCGGTATTCCTTTCCGTCCCTTACATCTGCCCGTCTTATTGTCACTCCTTCCTTTCTTCTATTCCTTCACATTAAAACAGTTTCGCTTCTGGGACGCATGGAATATTCCGCTTATGGCCTTGTCTAATTCATAGCTCATTATAAATCGATAAGCCTATGGCTGAAAATCGGGACTTTAATTGAAATCTCCTATCGAGTTTCAAGAAAATCTGCCCAGCGGTTTAGAGGATGACAATAGGCGACAGGGACAGACACACGAGGCCCTCCTCTTGCCTACTTTGGAAGAAAAATTTTAAACGAGCGAATTCCTCAGTAGAGGTAAATCTATCCCTGTAACAGGCCGTGAAGACCAGTGAAGGCCCATAGGGTTGTGAGAGGCTTCCACATTTCCTCTAGACAGTCGGCTCACAGATGGCCCTTTACCCCCCAAGGAAGAGCTCTGGTACTCGTTTCTGTTGGAGGCTGAGTCGACACCAGGGTCATAGTGCGGCTGGAATGATTACGTAAATTGAAAAAAAATCCACCTCTTCGGGACTCGAACCCGCGACCTTCCGGCTTGTAACATAGTGCCCCCACCCCTCAGTAGAGGTAATTTGGTTCTTATTCCGACTCATACTTCTAGGATTAGCTCCTAGACATAGTCATATATATGTGTGTGGGTTTTATGCGTACGTAATATAGACTTTATTCTGTGCAGCTTGTATCGAGCAAAATGTCTGGATTGCCTGTAGTCCGCCGAGGATTCGAAGCAGATACCTACTGAATACATGGCAAGAACTGAATATCGCTGAATACTAAATATTTCATGTGAAACATTAAGAAGACGAAGAAATGGAGAGGAAGTAAGGAAACAAGAGAGAATTATCGCAAGCTACTTGAAGTTCATTCGTCTGGGTCACTCCATCAGAGTTAAAACAGTTGGTAAATAAATGTGACACGAATTTCTTCATGGGAGATTTCCTTAAACCCGTTCTCACGTTCCAACTCCCTGGGACAATTCTGACTGCGTAGGATTTGCGCTGGCCACAGCTCTGCTGTATGTTATTTGAAACGTATGGACTAGCGATAACCAACCTCACCCCAGGCTTGCAATGCGAGAGGCTGGAGGGAGGGTTGTACGTCTGCACTTGTTCTGCTTAGTTCGCTGTCTCTCGATTTGTTTCTATGCAAGACGCTGTCCAGTGGCGGATGTTTCGTTAGACAACACTAGACACTGCCCCTTTTCAGCCTACTCTCCTTATTTTGAAAAAAAAAAAAAAAAATTAGGCATATGCGATCTGCGTGCTGTCTGTTTCCCCCCGCACCCATCAACTTCTGAATGGCTGAAACTTGGTGTGTGTATCATGGCATGTGAGCTCATTTCAGTGGCGTACTTCATAGATCGTTTCCATCAGTCTGTGTGTCTATATATGCGTTCCTCCTGTCGTGGGTAGTATATTTTTATTTAATTTATTTCTGATTTGATAAATGAAGCCACGAGTAACTCAGAATTTTTAGGGTCAAATGATAGAATTACATCGATTCGTGATTTGAGAAAGATTACAGGTGCCACCAAACTGGCATTTTCATGGAGGGACTGAGGAAATCCAAGAAAAAATTAATTCAGGATAGGCAATGTTCCGACCCAAATTCGAACCGAGGACCTCCCGAATACAAATCAGAAGCGTTACCGACTGAGCCACCTTGGTCGGGTCCTCATTTCATCAACTAGACCATCGCTAATAAAAGAAAGATCTATCCAATAAAGTATGTCTATGGTCGTGGCCTACTTAAGGCGTTCGAGTCGAGCGGCTAACAAACACCACTCAATCAGCATAGCCGAGCATAGAGCTCGTGACCTCACGGATACGAAACAAGCCTGATAACCACTACACCCGGTATCCATTCGACAACGGCCGGTCACAGCGAACAGAGACACCCTCTGTCCCCAGCGAGGCTTGCACACCGGTAAACCTGCCGTTTATTAGGGGAAGTTCCGTCTGTCGACTAGAAAATAGACAGATATCTCTAGTCTGACCTTTTTTATTGCTAGTGTGGTGGGACTAAGTCCTTTGTACTGTGGCCACTTCTGGCCTATTGTACCAGCTCCAGATGATAGGTGAGGGTGATTGTGGAGCAATTGGTGGAATGAATATTGGCAGGGGAAACGGAAGTACTCGGAGAAAACCTGCCCCAGCGCCACTTTGTCCACCATAAATCCCACTTGACCAGACCCCGGGATTGAATCCGGGCCGCCGCGGTGGGAAGCCAGCGACTAACCGCTTGAGCTATGGAGCCGCCTAGTCTGACCTTACGCAAGAAGATAGTGACAGGATCTGTTTCGTCATTTTCCTTAATTACTTCAGGCAGTATTAGGAGTAATAACTTAAAATGGGCCACATCCACTTCCACGTTTCCAATTAGCCGGTCACAAACCCATCAACAATCTAACATAGACAACGTACGCAGTTAGAATAGCATCGTTAAATAACTCTGGCATGATTTATGACATCAAGTTCCCAGCAGGGAGCGAGGGGCGTGTGCTAATTAAGACTTATTATCGGGAGGTAGCAGCTGGACCCCAGATAGGGGCGCAGACTTTTATGTGCCCATTAGATTAGCGGCCCATTTAACACTGTGACAAA